TTTGGGATAGAAATAGGAAGCAGATCAGAAATGCAAGGCCAGAGTGTCCTTAGGGTGAAATGTTCCTTTTAAAGTAATCATAAACAATTCAAAATATGCCGTATTACCACATCTACCTAAAAATACTGCTCATGGGGGTAACCCAAGTCCCTGCAGCTTAAAAACAAAAGAGCACCTGTTCTGGCTTTTTTTTCTATCCAATGGACGCATAACATAGCACTGATCTAATATAGTGGCTAGGAACAGTGTGGCTGGCCAGTGGGTGAAGGGGGGGGGGTCAGGAATGCAATGCAGCAAGGTCATGCAACATGTGGACAACCAAACAAAACCCTGGCCTACTTTCCAGCTCAAATGCAGCTTCAGTTTTCTTGAACACCCTCAAATGTAGAATTCTGCAGCGTTATTTGATATGATCGACCTAAAGAGTGTGTGTGTGTGTGTGTGTGTGTGTGTGTGTGTGTGTGTGTGTGTGTGTGTGTGCTCTGATAGAACAGCGGGTGTATTGTAAAACTGAGAGTAGTAGATTATACTATCAGCAGCAGAGGAATTCCGATTATTTCCCACAGTGGGTCTGACTGCACACATGTGAGAGAAACTTAAACTAAGTGGTTTTTGGAGGAAGGTGGCACATACACGTAATGAGAATAGTTCAACATTTTTGGAAACATGATTTAGGGAGTTTGGTTAGAAGAAGGTCAATACCACTTTACTTATGTACGGTAGATATGAGGCTAAAGCTAGCAGCTGGTTAGCTTAGTTTAGCATAGGCTAAATACTGGAAACTAAGGGGGAACAGCTAGCTTGGCTATGATGAGGTGACCAAATCCGACTCACAGCGCCTCAAACAAGTACTATTTAACAAATGATTCCATGTTATATCTTGTTTGTTTAAAACGTCAACTGTGCAAACTGAAGCAAAGTTTATAATTGTGTGGGGTGTTCTTTGCAGGATTATATCCGTGAGACAGAGCTGTTTGCAGTCTTTAACTAAACTAACCCGCTGCTACTGCGACAGCAAAGTGGTATCAATATTCTCCTCTAACTTGGCAAGAAAGTAAAATGTGTAACAATATAATTACGGAAATTTGTTTTTTCAGAGTAAGTATTGTTAAGGCATTTTTTTAAAGGTTAGAAGTACAGTATGTTGGTATAAAATGCGCAAACAATGTAAATAATGAAGCTGACCTGTCAATTTGGCGAGTCTACAGAGAGCAACCTGTCTAGGAAATGGTGATACAATGATCTCCTTATCGAGCCAGAATAAAACTGACTTTAGGTTGAATAGTCTTTATGGGTATAAAAGAAGAAAAGGGGAATTTAAGATGTATTGTAGTATACCAATATATCTATTTAAAATACTATAAAAAAAGAGTCATAACGAAATACTTATTAAGCTAAATAAATACAAAAACGTTCATTCCAAGCGCTCCTAATAAACTCGTTTTTTTTAACTAACTGTGATTGCGGAATTGAAATCGCACTGCTCTTATCCTGTCTTACTTCACCTGTTCTTACATCTGAAAAGAGACAAGTTTATTTACTGTATGGACACAATGCCATCAGCTGATTCTCCACTGCCTACAATGGATAAACAGCACCATCTGCAGGACAGCATGTAGCGTTGAACCTGCTACAAGGGCTGCTCACACAACCACACCAGTGCGTTAATTTGAAAGGAAGTATTAAACAGATTACTTACATATTTAATATAATGCATTGTGTGTACTCCTTTACAAACATGCATCGGGCCCTCGTTTGAAGAGATTATGTCCCAGGTAGTTATTTTTCTTATTTTCTTATAGAGGCAACCATCTGCGTTGTGCAAAAAATAGCCCTTAATTCATAGGTTTTTAATTTGGATATCACCAGATATACAGCACTACACAGGACATGATAACTACCATAAAACATTTAAACATAAAGCTGCTGGAGCAGATTTTAGCCTTTAGAAATCAATTGATTTGTGGCTGTAAAGTGCAATAGAAAATGACAAAGGTCTCGCTATCCATAAACACACAAGAGTAATTTCAAAAGCAATATTTGCGCAGTCTTTATGATATCATTTGAGGAAATCTGTAATGTCACTTCCAACATGGCAAAATGCCGGAAAAGTAAAACAAAAAAATATATATTTGCATTTATTAGTGGATCACACTGACTTTATGGCTCATTAAAGCATGAAAGGTGAGCAGTTCTTTGTGCAGCAAAATGTGTCCTTTGACAGAAATGATTGATTAATTTTGTTAGCAAAATAAAAAATATCTAATGAATTAAGCAGGAAGCAACAGGGTTTACTGAAATCATCTTTATTTGACATATCGTGTGAAATACTTTCAAGTAAATCATTAGTGCTTCAGTAACTTAACATAATTTATATGTGAAACATAATGTATAAGAGGTTTGGTGATAAAACTGATAAGCATGTATTTCTGAAATGACTCCATTGTTCCTCACAGATGTAATTTGCAGCCAAATGTATTATACAAAAACAGTTACAAAACAGTTTGAGTAGTATAACTGGCACATTTCATTTAACCTGACGGGACATTTTGATTGTAGTGAGGAGCAGAACATATTGTAAACACATTTAAAGCAACACACTGATGTCAAGGCTGAGCCATAGACAATAGACCTCTCACAATACAACAAGGCATAAGCTCTCCAACTGTTTGATGAAACAAAACATGAGTAAACGAGAGTAGGCAAAACAAAAACAAAGATAATATGATAATACTGAATGAGGCATATTATAATTAGAGCCAACAGTTAGCTCACAGTATTGTTAAAAAGGCAAATTCTACTGTATTACACTCAATCCAACAAACTGTCCTGCATCCATGTCTACGGATTCATTGGACGTGCAGAGGTATATTTCTCCACCTTTAAAGAGAAACATGCACAACAGTAAGTATAAAAAATACACTGCTTGGACTGATTGCATCAAGGTAGCCTAAATGGGAGCTCTTGTAGTGACATTTATTTGGAGGATCCTGACATAAAAAGGAGGTTAAAGGAGGAACAGGTGGTGATGGTAGAGTGCAAATAGGAGACAGATAAGGACAAAAAGAGCTTCCACTTCAGTCCATTATTTCTGCCCTCAGCTGGATTGCTCTTCCCTCCTACATGAGAGCTCCAATAGGGAGGCCATCATGGCTGGACCCTGGCTTTTCTCCCTGAAACAGAGGACAGCTGATATCAGACATTTTTTATTTAGTTTATTATTGTTGATGAATAACATTGTTAGCCTTTTTTTATTTAAATTGTGTGATAATGTCCATTATATTAAAGATACAGTAGGCTGCTATAGCTATGTATGCATGGATAACCATCCATTCCCAAGGAATATCCTCCCTGTATCTTTTCTGAAAGCACCACACCGTGTACAATTTTCGCTTGCTATTATATGCATGATGTCACATTTGTTATATTCTATGAAACGCTGCCTTACCAGTGTCAATGATGAAGACCATGGATGCAGGAGAGGAAAAACACACATCCTGTGTTAGCCTGTGCACCGGCCGCCTGTGTGTCCGAGCAGGACGATTCATCTTCTTCATCATCACAGCAGGTAGATAATGTAGGAAAGGAAGACGAGGCCCATGATGGCGAAAAACATCAACAACAAAATGTCCACCATGATTGAAGTATTGTCAGAGATAGACGGTGTAAAAGACGCAATGACACGCAGTAAAACAGAAGCACTACCACCGCTGCAGGAGATCGGCTGTTTCCGGAACCGTTCGGGGATCTCGAGCCTCAGTCGACCCCTCCCCCCCTCAGAGCAGAAAACGAAGGTAGGGAGAAAGGGTTTAATTCACCCCGCGTTTGGGCTTTTAGGTAGATTTTTTCCACGAGATGTTATATACCCCAATTCAATTCCCAATAAACATTAAACAATTTAACAGAAATGTTTGATATCGTCACCTGAAAGAGTCCTTTTTTAGGGCAATTCACAAACCAGAAAATACAAGTATGACCTGACAGGCTAAACTCCGGTTTGCTGTTTCCCATGAATGGAGGGGGATTTCTTGTTATACATGATATCTTTCTAATTTACTTTGTCGCCGTATATTATCTAATCAAAATGTAATATTTGTTCTATGTCCCCTTATTTTATTCATGTATTTATCCCCTTCGTTTGTTATTGAATCTTCTGGGTCATTCTTTTGGCTCTTAAATTAATGCGGATGGAAGACTATTTGAAAGTCTTTAGGGAGCGTTTTTTGGCACAAAAAAACTGACAATACAAATAAAAACTCCTGTTGCCAGTTTATTTGTAGACCCTTCTCTAAGCTATAGGCCTAAAACAAAGAAAAGCAATACAACTATTCTAACTCCATGAACTGTTTTAAAAAGTTGAATCAATACCTGATCAATACCTCACTTAAAACATTTAAACCTTGATAAATGAATGATTCAATGAAGACTTTTGGCATTAGGCTGAATGAGCTTCAGAGGGCTACCCAATACTGGAAACTCAGTGCAACGCATCACTCTTAGCTGTGCCAGGGCAAGTCTTACATAAAAATCAACTATTTTGCCCGGATTTATCTTTAAACAAAATGTATCCCTAATATTCTTTGTACTCTTCATCTTGGGACTGGAGGCTTACAAACAGCTTTGGTCCAAAGCAAGGCTTACTAAGTGGGCAGCTGGCCAAAGAGCCATAGACTCCCAGGGGCCCAAAATGCTCCACGTTCACTGTACATTGTGTTTTTTTGTATTTATTATTTGATTAATTGTACATTTGAGAACATTTTAATAATCACAATATCAAGTAAGGATGGGTCCTGCTGCCTTATGACCTTATCTTTAGCTCTTGTCTTGTAGAGAAAGGGCCTTTTTTATTTTCTAAATTGTGTTATGGGGCATATTTCTTAATAAATGTGTCTTTAATCATAATTATCACTAAAAGGTTAATAGACATAGAACAGGTTTTCTGAAGACTTTTGCATTTGTTCGACTATTCTTCTGTACAACAATAGACGTAGTATAAACGGTTTGAGAAAAAATGACATTTTATTGAATCTGCAGAATCATAAGTACAATTTGATGTGCTGTAACAGGGCAACGAGATGATATCAGGTCCTTAATTCTGACTGTATCCAGAATGAGTTCTAAATACACGTGTATGTCAATGTGCATATGGTATCTTTATTTTTTTATTTAAAAAATAACAAAATTATACAAAAAACAAAACAATTTAAGATGGAATGCACAAAATGGTCTGAATGCTAAACCCGATTGTGGATTACATGATTTCACTCCGCAAAGTCTACAGTATATAAACCAGTATCATAGAAGCGGGGAATGATTTATCAGAAGCGCAGGAGCCTACGATGAAGGCTGAAGTAAAGAGGGGTCTCAGCAGACAGATGGAAAGGGTACTAGACAGAAACTGAATGGAAACAGGGTTATGATATGAGGTTACAGTTCAGTAGATGAGTGATGCCAGAGCAGAAGAGCAGTATTTGGCGCAAGTGGTTACCCCTGACTAATATCCAGGTCAGACAAACAACTTGCCCTGCCTCACAGCCTGGGAGATACAGAGCATTGGATCAGCACTCTGTCACCCCCTCCCAGCACCGCATTCTTAAATCCCCAAATGCTCATATTTGACTTAACAAATCCATCCTTAACGACACTTACTCAACACTGGCCCATCTCTGGCCACTTTTTCCACTTAATCCAGAAAACAAAGTGTCCAAATCCAAGCCCCTTGAGACAACGTAACGTTTTGATTGGATGTAATCCGCCGAGTAGCTTTGTTTTTAAATATATCTGAGCAAACATCATCATCAGCCGGGAACAGCAATAGTTTCACTTGAAGCCCAACCACCAACTCTTCAGTTTACTCAAGAGAAAAACACAACCATGAGCTCTAAAACAGCTTTCCCATCAAGCATCTGTTTTGCAAATAAACTTGTCCTATTGTCAAGTGTAGGTCAATGCAAATTACAGGCATACATACAGTGTGTTCATTGTGTTTGGTGTGTTTGTGAGCTGCTATTTTCTGATTTATTGTTCAGCACTGTCACAATTAATCACATTAGAAAGTTAGAATGTTATTAATGTTCAACACCAACTTGCACCAAACTGTATTTTTTCACATTACGTCCCCTCAGCCACATTCACAAAAAAATATGAACCACTCTAATCTGCAGGCAAGCTACTTCCCAGAGCACCATGACCTGTAAAAACATGTCCCTAACTTACCTTTATGATACATATACAATTGTACAATGTAATCTAGCTACATAGTGAGAGCCTTTTTTCTTTGAATAAAGCTGAACTTTTTTTCCGCCACCCCCAACCCACCTTAGAAACCGCCCTGATCGCTCATGTCTGTGACAGTCACAGTGCATCACAGGAGAAGAAAACAGCAAGAAAACGGGGAGAGGTGTGTATGGTCAGGGAGGGGCCTGTGAGATTATTTACACCACTGAGTAATGGTCAATATCTTTTTTTAAATCATATAAAAAGGTCCTCACAGAAACAAAGTATTTAGAGTGAAGGAATGATACAGCATTTCTGTGTAATAGCCAGCAACTTAAATGCTTGATTTTGTGTTTATGAACCAACATCCTTTCAATCTTTTTTGACCAACACTGACCAGATGCTCGTAAATCTCGGCAGATTGAGTGATCAGATTTTGGGATTCACCCGGCAGGTGGACAGAACAAAACTTTGTGTCTGACATCGTTGCTCAAACCCTGACAGGCGGGTGACAGGCCTGGCTTTAGGAAGTTTTAAAGACCAGGGCTGATTTTAAACGCCATTTGGTAACATGATTCTCTTTTTGAAACTCCAGAATATTAAAGAGCATAAACGAGAATGCACTTATCAGAGACAGGCATGAACATGCAAGCATTTGGATGATTTTTTATCCCGGCTGCTAGCACCGGTCTGACCTGAAACTGCAGGTTGAAAAATCCCAAAACTGATCTAATACCACGACCACACAAGTCTGCCTTGGTTCATAAATCGAGTTGCAGGTTAATTAATTAATTTGATACACTGACTTTTTTTTGAAAATAATTATTTTACAATAACAATAACAAGAAAGGCAAAAAGAAAGAACAGCATGAAAACAACATTTACCACAGCCAAGGATTCGACAATTTCTCTCACATTGAATGGAAAACAAAAGGTTGGAATGTTCACTCACAAAAACAGTGGAATGATTGAAAAGGAAAGAAAAAAATCACAATATAGAGTTGTGCTTGGCCTTCTCTTTTATGAATGTGTTTTCTTGGTGATTTTGTAGCAAAAAAGGGGGAAGGACATGTTCCCATCTCCTTTTTCCTAACAGTATAACCTTGATCACCTTAACTTTGTGATTCACTCAGGACTGAAGGCATTCAGGCTGCAAAAAACAGGAATAAGGGTGCATCCACGCCGACTGAGGTGAAGTATTCAGTGTGGCTGCTAGAGATGGACTGATAATGTCCCCTAACTTGTCCCTGATCCCTCCTGTATCCGACGAGCCCGAGAAAGGCAACTACAGGAGGTGCTCTTCAGTTAGGCTACAATTCCAGTTTTACAACGATGCCCACAATGCAGTGCTGAACACGAGGGTGCCTACCCGAGCACACAATGGCGAGATGTGTGTCAATCGATAAATATATTAAAAACCTCTCTGTTAAGACTGATAACTGGCTGATTGGTGCAACAGCAACAGGGCTAGAGGTTAAAGGAATGTACACAAGTCAAACATATTCAAGCTTCTTTCTGATACACAGAGATTCTGCACTGTGTTTCCAGTCTGGCCAAGATCTAAAGATGCTAAATGAGAAAAAAACAAGCCTGTGATAATATGCCACACCCATCCACATTTATTAAACCTAATTTCTTTACAGAATAAACGTCTTCAGCTGTGGCGACTGACTCTCGAGGGAAAAGGGGATATTTGACTTTTTCTTCCTCTTAAGTTTTGCATGATGTTGTGCTAGGATTAAGTGCTATAGCTAGGATGGAGCCGTGTGGCATGGCATGACCCCTGCCATACTGCAATGAACTGTGTGTTTTATCCTTAAGACTTTCATTTTTCCACTTGAGACAGCACTTGAGATCGGAGCCAGGTTTGGGAAAAGACAAGAGAGGATGAGGAACATCCAAACAGAGACAGACTTCAGCACAGACAGACAGACAAAGAGGCAGGCAGACAGACAGAGAAGGACAGACAGACCAAAGGTAGAAGGTGTCTGTGGTGAAACAGTGAGAGTAGAGCAGGGACGCAGAAGGGGGGGTTGGGGGTTTCAGGGTCTCACAGGACAGATCAGGGAACAGGAGTAAAATCAAGAGGAAGCAGCTTTAAGATGAGATGGCACTGGGCTTTTCATTTCCTTCTTTCCCTCCCTTTCTCTACCTCCTCCTTTTTCTCTCCCTCTTTTTCTCTCCCTTTCACTCAGACGGCCTCCACGTAGTTGGCGGGCAGCATGCCCTGCTGGCCCGTGCGCTCCACGCGGCCGTACATCCAGCCCTCGTCGATCTGCTGCACGTCTATGATCACATCTCCGTCCACGAAGGAAACCTCGTCTTCATCAGCAGCAGCGTAATCGTACACTGCCCTGTATCGCTTCTGTGGAAAACAACAGGTACTTCAGTTAGTTCCTCACGACACAGGTACGCTACGGCTAGAATCTTCTATGTAAGAGTGTTTTTCGTACCTTGAAAATGTGGCTTACATACTTTTAAAGTTTTAATCGTCCAAACAAATCCATTATGATTTCCTTAATAGTACAAATAAGAAGGGATAGAAGGCTAAAAACAATATTCGACAAGACAAGCTTAAGGCTTAGATGATTATCCACAAAGTGAATCTACCCCTGAATAAAGACAATTTTATCTGACTAAAACACATCCAACTTTTTCTTGACAAACTCATTTGTTGATATAATCGGAAGATCTGTAAACCTTCATTCTTCCAGAAAGAATCATGCAACAGTCTTGTGTTAACCAAATAAGTGCTCATTAGTTTAATAAGCATAGAAAAAGCAATACAAAGTTGCCAACCGAGTCATTAGTTCAGCTCTACTCATTAATGCAAAGGATGAAGTGTTGGCAGGATTTATTTCTGTTTAACATTTATTTACAACATTCTTTTCAGGTTTTGAATTCATCAAGGTGTCAGTTTGTAATTAGAGGAGGACTTACCCCAGAGCTGGGCGGCGGGGCGGCGGCCGCCGGTTGCACGGGTTCAGGAGCCTGCTCATAGTGGAAGTTCGGAGAGGCTGCAGGCGGCTGGAAAGCTCCTGGTGAAGCACGAAGGAAAGTGGAGGGCAGGTCAATAGCTGCACAGACATCTGATGTACTGGAAACTACACTGTTTATTTGTGGTAGTAGAATAAGGATTTCTATTCATATGAAGCATAAGCAGGTATTTAGTCCTGTCTGAGCACTGCATTGACTCTTCGACAGCCATTCAGTGATTCTGGGTATTCTTGTAACACATCCTACTAAATAATATCTCTCAAAATGAAGTGTATCATGCTAAATACAAACAGCAGGTACATTCAAATACTTGGCTGTAACCTTTCCACTGCCTTCCTTATACCTCGTGTGTAACTCTAACAAAATATTCATAATTATGACTTAAAATAGGCCAGTTTTCAGCAAACCATCTTTTTGGCTTGAGGGATCGCCTTAGATTAAACATGTATCGTCAGATTATGCTTCATTAGAATTACTTTCATGACTTTTTAATAAAGCAATTTCTGCAGCAATGCAGATAGTGAACGCAGAGGAGGGAAGAGAACAAGTTACAACCAAGATCCTTAAGCGGTGTAACGAGGCAACACCCAGCCTGGGAGCTCACTCAGCCTGTGGGCGGGCTGGAGCCAAGCACAGACAAGGCAAGAGGCTTAAAGAAACAAGTAGATAGGCCTACTCGCTGTACTTTACTCAGAACATGAAAGCACTCATTCGGCCCATTCCTCCAGGTTTGAAAACAGAGACCTCCTGATAGGCCTAACATCAGAATCCATCTAGTATCTTTTATGAATTGTGTATAATGTAATGTTTATACAGAAAGTCATCTTTAACATTCTGTTTTGTTTGGTTAGTGAAAGTTAAACATGCATGCTGATAAATGTTTTTTTGTTATTTTTTTAAATATGAATAAAATATTTCTTGTGGTTGTGTGTTAGAAGGGATACCTGGGCTTGGGTTGCTCGGCTTCTGAAATGGAACCTCTCCTCCCATCTTCCTCTTCTCAAAATCCTCATGGTACTTAATCTGCAGGAGACAAACAGGTCACATTTAAAGATGGAGAATACACAAATCTTCAAAGCTTCAAATCTACAGGTGAGGAGAATATCTTTCCAGGAAGCTTTTACAGTCTGCAGTTCATTGTTCATCCACCAGAGGTCTCCCACTTGCCCTCCAGCACCCATGTGTTTGTGGTGATAGGTGGGGCGCCATGCCCTACGTGCAAGCATAGCCTCGGAGTCGGAGAGCAGCTTGACACCGAGAGGAAATTACATGTCAGCGGCCGGAAGTATTGCGAGCTCAGAGTTTCATAGCAACCCTCGCTGACACATCAGGAAGAACAGGTGAAGTGAAAAAAGGGAAACAACTTGAGGCTTGAGGCTTGGGGTGAGAATGAGACTGCGAGAGGAAACGGTGAGAGGAGAAGAAGGAGGCGGGTCATATGACTAAGCATAGCAAGAAGCAACTATAATCATGTTCATTACTACCCTCTTAAGTGGAACTGTCCTTAGAGCTTCTTTTTTTTTATTATCCTGAAGTTATTAACAGAAAAGCACCTGCACTACAGTTCCAGCTACAAAGTTCTTCATCAACCTACAACCTCTCCAACTGAGCTCCCAGAGTTACAACATGAAACACTGGTGAAACTGAAACAAAGTGACTGCTCTATGACTGCACTAAATAAGCCGTCCCCCTTATTACCAGGCTGATAACAGACTGACTCACAGTGCCTCGGTCAAGATTTACAACCCTGATGCTGTCCACACATACAGCCGCGCTCAAAGAGCCCACTGTGCCGCCGGCGTTAGCGAGGAGTGTGTTCTCAGAATGGATGACAGTGTTTGTGTAAGGACAGTGAAGCGAGGGACTGAGAGAACACAGTGACTGTCCTCAAGTGCAATATGCTAAGTGAGAGTGTGTGAGGGAGATTATTTTGGTTTGTTTTGAAGGAGCAGATTGAACAGATGGTGTGTGTGTTTGGTGTATATATGTGTGTTTGGTGTGTTTACACTTACAGGAAGTGCCCAGGCTATTGATTGAACTAAACCCCCCCCCCATACTATTGTTCTTCTCAATCTTAGCTGTATGAACCAATAAAAAGTACTTGACCAGAAGTGAAAACCAGGCAAAAACATAATGAGATACAAGTTGGGACAAGTCAAAGTGAAAGGATTGACATAGCTGACATTCTGGTGACCGTCAAATATGCTTTTTAGTTTTAGATAACAACTCAATCAGTCATCACATTTTACCCTATTTGAGCTATTTTCAGTATTACAGAATGAGTCACCAAGTCCGGTTTCCAATGTCCTTTTTGAGTCATCAGATCTGCATAAGTTTTGATCTTATCATTATCTGGTGGAACACAGGTTGAATGATTATGAATGCAGTTTTGCTATTCGTAGAGAGTGCCTGTTTTAAAGTCAATCTGCAGCGCCCAATTTGCAAACATATAGAAAGCTTTTTTTACATTGTAGAAGCACAATTGTCAGAATGAAAGATAGAGAGAGATGGACTGAGCTCTGCAGCAAAGAAAGATTATGGTAACATTTTGACTTTTAAACTACATTTTTCTATAATATGGCATGTTGATGTTGTCACAGTTGGTGTTTAGTGACGTCAGGGCCGTCTTGTTATTCTCTCATCTTAACCAAAAAGGTTGTTGACGACATAACTGTTCATAGTCGAGTTATCATAAGGAGCCCAGGTGTCGACCAAGAGTAAAGAGTCATGAAAAAGACTTAACAAGAGAGGCAAGTTAGGACAAGTAAAGTGAAAAGCTTAACATTGCTGACATTCTGAAGAGCGATGTGTTGCATTTCTTTAAGTGTGCAGGAAAGAGAAAGAAAAGCGAGAAAGATGTAGCATTCATCCGGAGGGCTGGCCCAATGTTTGTCGTGATGCACTAGCCGCAAGCAGAGGTTTTCGTTTATCAAGTCCGACTGCAAATGCATCACGATGCGCCCGATCCATCCCACAATAATGCCCTTCATCTTATCTTGATGTGGCAATTGTGCATAAATATTAAATTCCATGCGATGCCTTCTCTGTCTTAACTTCCTTGTTTCTTAGACATGGTAAAAGCTTTCATCACACGAAAGCAGTGATTACCCATCACCCTCCACACTAATTATGCCATTAATAATAAGCTGGCTATGTGTAATGACGTACGCTTTGTGTCAGAGTCTGCTTAATGCGGGGGGAAAGGCCTTTGCAGCTGACTTAAGCAGTCTGAAGGAAAAAAAGGTAAACACTGCATGCCTTTCTACATCACTGCTCTGTATTTACAGAGAAATGGCAAATCAATAACTGGAGCTGAGGGGGAGTGGAAGGGAGAGTGGAGGAGAATCATCTATGTGGAGAGTGATTTGAGGAGAATTCCATTACTATGAATGAGGAGCGGCGTGAGCAGAGGAAGCCTGACATTTACTGATGTCACTGTGACCAAGGGGGAGGATGAAAGATACATGAAAAAAGCAACATGAAAAATATTCTGAAAATGATTATCTTTTTCTGCTAAAGCTCTCAGAGATGAGGTAAAACAGGTTCAGCCAATCTCAGAAAGCTAAATACATTTGTATTGAACTCATATAGACCAAATGTTAAGGACCATTTTGCCAAAGAGATGACAGTGAGATAGAGAAACTAATAAACACACACCAATGTTTACTCTTTGTCAAAATACCTAAAGATAAGAAGCTCTTCTGTTACGAATGAGGGTTCATTTACTTGATGAATGTGACGCTGACACTTACATTGCTGATTTGGTTCTGCGATTTCTTAATTCTCTGCAACTCTGGAGTGTCTGTGACCACGCTGAAACCTTTCCCTTTGTTCTTCTCAAAATCCTCCCTGTAGCGAACCTGCAGAACAAACGGCATTCATGTTAGAAACAAAACAAGTGTTTAAAAAACATGGAAGGCAAGCGTGCAATATGTTAGCTGAAATAAATATGTACAGCCAGTTATAATGCGTTTGTGAGTAAACAAGGAAAATCCAACAAACGCGCGCAATGATTATTTATAGATGCTCTGACCTAGATTCTTTCAACATATACAGATTAGAAATCATGTCTTGCTGATATTTCTCTGCTTGTTTGAAATACATGTATTATTACGTAATGCTCTTCATAACATATAATGTAGTTAATAAAAGTATATACACAAATAAATAATAAAGAAGAATAGTCCAGCTTATCAATCAATCAACCTGAGTTTTATTTATTGGACACTATAAAGGATTATATTTAGCCAAATCAAGTTTTTTAAAAGGGAATAAATAAGCTGAAAGAAAAAAAGTTTTACGGCTATCTTTTTTACAAGTTAAAACAATTACATCAAAATGCTGAAACATCAACTCTAGTGAAAAGAAGCACATTTCTCATTATGCAAGTATTTCCTTGACTGGGGTTTGCCATACAATTCCAGCCCATATTTAATGTGCTACTATTAACATGTTGACCTTACAATCCCAATGTTCTTCAAAGACACAGAAGATGAACAATTCTTATAAAAACTATGACTGAAGTAGGAATTAGCAATGTATGTGTGCGTGAGTGTGTGTTATAGGATTGCAAGCAAAGTAAGGTTGGCCCAAAATCTATTGCGTAGTCTTTTGTGGCAACGTTCACTTCCTGTTTGCTGTGAGGGCCTTACATACAGGACGTGGTACCAGCAACCATATATGGTCATAATGAGAGGTAGTGTGTAACAAACGCTGTGTACGTCTATGTTTGTTTGTTCCCAACCTCCCCACCCTATCCTGACCTAAGGGCAGAGGAGGAAATGTCCAGCCCATGCAGCGAAAGATGAGTATCACAATGCACAAAGCCCCCCCCCCGCCCTGTGGCTGATCTCCATATTCACAAACTAGTTTACAAACCTGAAACAGGAAGTCAGGTGCAGGTTTTATTTTTGAAAGACAACAGCTACACACATTTCATCTCCCTGGCACGTGCTATGACATTTCAACATGACACATTTTCTGATTCTACCTACCCTCGCCGACTTAACCCTTACTCCCGCCTGCATGGTGACTGCACCAATTTCCTGCTCCCCTCCCAGAATGTAGTCTGCCTGCACAAAGCATTACCAGGAAGCAAAGCTCCCTCCCTCCCCGTTTGCTTTCCCCTCCCTGCCGTCCACATAATGCCTGACACTGCTGAACAGACTGCTGACCAATCCTCCTCTCCTCTCCTGACATGACAGGGCTGTGATTCACAGATAATGTGTGTGTTGGTGTGTGATACGTTCATATGTGCCGTGTAGTGACGACCACTGAGAAATTGGGTGAAAACTATGGCTGATCCTTATTCCACGGGAAATTATACACGGCCCTCAAGCCTGCGCATAAAAGATAAGTCATGACGAAGATGAATGTGGCCATGACACATCTTTGTCCTTCATTCTCGCTCCGCTCTCATCACTCAGCGTATGATCCTCCCCCTATTTTTATTTTTCAGTCTATCTCCTTTGTCTTTTTGAGGTCTATGCAACAGCTTCTTCTCCTCCAATCATGCCTCTGCTTCTTTCCCCACCCACATTGCCTTCTCTCGGCGCTCCGTTTTCATTCATTCATATTTTACGGCCTCAACAGCGACAGAGTTGTCGATAGAGCCGGAGCTCTTCGTCATTATAAATCAGTCTCTCTGCTTCTATTTGCATTCCTCTAGCTTTCCTTCCTCTAGGGATTTACTTTTATCTCTTCCTTTCACCCTGCACTCCTCCCTTTCTCTTTCTGTTGGTGCCTTCCTGTCTCTTCTTTTTTTTCTTTCGCTCATGTGCGCCTGATTGCTCTCCCTCTCCTCCTCCCAAATTCGTTCTTTATTTCTCTCTGTCTTTCTCTCCGTGTTGTTTCTTTCCGTTTCCCCATGCAAAGTCTTGTAATGAGGTGTGACAAACCTCTACCCTGCTACCATAGCAATAGGGTTCCCCTAGCAACGCAGCGGCGGTATTAGTGAGGGGTTAGATGGCCACATTGCTCCACAAACACCTTCAACTTCCTTACGCTGACACAAACACATTCAAGAAGAATAACCATAACACTATAGCACACAAGCATCATGGTTCAAGAGGCTTGAATCATCCAGACACAACTTAACTCAAAGAAACGTTAATAGTGTTACAAATTTCATTTGATTTTGAAAAACGCTTCTTCTATAGTTTACGGTACGTTTTCTTTAACCTGTTAAGCCCCATATTTTTTTTCACGAAACTGGGTCTCAGGGCTTCTTAACATTTAATAAACTATGAATGTGTCATACTCATTTAACGGGAAGAAACTCAGCTAACTGACGATACGAACCATTTTTACCGAAACAAAACACAAGTCTCACAAGAAGCGTCTAAATTAGCCCTGAGCGAAAAAATGCTACCGCACTTGGCACAGAACTCAAGGTATACATACTTTATTACTTATTGGATCTGCACAAACAAGATATTAGCTAGCAAGCTGAGATTCCACAGATTCTAGAAGTATTAGTATCATCACTGAGCGATCAGAACTCGCGATTGGGAAGCACACACAGACATCACAACACGTAGCTTTATGGAGCAAAAACGGGAGAAATTTCTTACCGTTAGCTGTTTCTGATCAAAAGTTGTGTTCAATAGCATTAAAACGAGAAAAACGCGGCTGAAGGTTAATCCATAGGTTAATCCAATGTGTCTGTGTAACTTTGAAAAAATTACAGATAATCCATAATTCAATTTTTATGTCAAAAACTGAGTTTTCATATAGAGAACCGCAGTGACGCGTCGTAAAACCCGGAAGTAAGTTAGCATTTTTGGCACTTCCGGTTCCTTCCTCAAAAAGCAATGCATTTTTTCCATAGGGTTTTGGAAAATAGCTCGAAATAAGGTCTGTGGTTGACACAAATTTAAGAGGTAATTGACGTTTTGTTCTACGACATTAAATACATCAGCAGTGACCCACCTGAGGATTTTTGAAGAGTTTACGTGTCTGAAAAACGATGGTTGTTACCGAATGGCTGAATAGGACTACAGAAATTGTCGAGGCCGTTGTACGTCATTACGCCGAACACGTAAACACTCCCTCTAAGTTTGTTTTCCCCTGTGTTCTGCTTAAAAGCAAGTACCTGCCTATCTTTAGTATCTGTATATCTATATCTGACCATTAGAATCTGTATNCTGAATTTTCTACATCCAACTCACAGGTGTATCATTGCTTTGAGAACAAAGATTATGAATATACCCCTTTTATAAGTGAAGTTATAGTCATTTGTTCTGGGAATGTCATTTTCGAGCCTGTGACCTGGAAAACAGGCTCGGGGCTTAACAGGTTAAGGGTCTATTTGAAACAAGCAGCCCATTACTATTCAATTTCTTTATACCCAAAATCATCTTTGAGCCGTTCTTATCAAGCGAGGACTCTGTTTACTTTTACTGTGTTATCTTTTTGAAGGGAACTTCTAGATTTTGTATCTTTTGAGACTAATCTACTCCTTTAATGCTGATGTTATTTTTAGTGACATCATAGTTTCCTGTCTACAAATACCACTGTGCTAACAGGACTGCTATAGAGAGTGCTTAGGTCTTTATTCCTGATTACACAAATCCTTCAGCATCACACACAAACATCTTCTGTGTGTTGATAATCTCATTGTTGGGCCTGACTACGATAAACCATTAGTATAATATCTGTCTCTTGGTGCGTGCTCGAGGGTTTGTTGGGGGCTGTTAGGATGCTTGTAGAAAAACACCATCTGGCCCTCAATCCCTCAGTTATCCCCCTCCCCACATGACCACTGACCCAGCCCCAATATATACACACACACAGACACGGGTTCATCAGTAATGTTTGAAACCCACACCCAGATAAGACGAGGGGATGTGCTTTCTTTGATAAGCCCTGCCTGTTCTCTGGGTAACACTCTCTTCTACGACATGCTGAGAAAACAAGCCTCTCCTTCAGCTTTCCCCAGAGGATGCTTCCAACATCCAGATTTATACATCAGTCCCTCCAGGAGCTTGCCGAGCTTTTGAGTGATTAATGAGGTCAAACATGACTGAATTTGAGGGGTCCTCTCTGCTGAATTGTGCTAAAACCAGGATATGTTTGGATTTTTGCGTTAAAATGCTGCATGTGGCTTCTTCTTCTGTGGTTACTTTAGTGATCACATTAGTAGATACGTTCCAAGAACACTAAAGGAACACACAAGGGACATTCTGGCATGAAACAGAGAAGTGAAACCCTCCCAACTGCCTTCAGTGTTGAAGCCTGGCTGCCTCAACTTTGCCAGCTCTTATAACATCTTATACAGTTTATCGTTATCTAAAAAGATTGTCGAAAGTCTGTGAGTACAAATCTCTCTGACTCCATCAGAGCCATTTTTATCAAGGCAAGAACACATGACCCAGTTCAGATGGATATTTTGGTCTGATGAGATTTTTTTACAAATTGGATAATATATATTTGGGTCTTTGTTATTAAAGCTTCTGGAGAGCCATAGCAGTGTTTTTCTGTGGTTACAAAACAGACCGGGGACCTAAGACTGGGGGCTATTTGAAGAAACATAGGTTTAGAGGTAATTTGGCAGGATCCATGATTAGACACGTGGGTGGTCCTGCAGTAGAATGCACATTAAAAAGGAAAAAGATCAATGTAATAGTGCAATGTAATAATAGTGTAATGTAATGTAATAGTGTAACAGGGCCACAGCAAACATGGTATGGTATAAACAGCACAACATTTATTAAAGGCCATAATGTAGTTTGCAACCATCATAAAAAAACATCTGAATAACCGCCAGACAGTTTAACGCCGCTGAGAGCAGCAGTGTGAAACCCGAGGGCTGTAAGAGTACCGTTTAAACTAGGATTATTAAATTATCATTAATTATCCATTGTATATAAATGGCAAACCCCACCTTAAATTCTGTGCTCAGGCAGAATACTGAACTCAACTGAAAGGCCTGACTTCTGCCAGTTTATTCATAGTAGAAATGTAAATGAGCTTGAAACTAGGAACATTTATGCAGCAACTCTTACGTAAGAAGGGTTCCTTTTTTTTTTTTAAACTGGCGATTAAAGGAAATGGAAGTGACTGCATAACACATTTAAGCAATATCCTATTTGATATTTCCAACTAGTGTTTTTATTTAAAGACTGAACAGATAACACAGGAAGCTGGCTAGGGATCCAAAGCTACAGTAACTGAACCAACCTTATTGTATTAGGATTGCTCCTCGCTGGGGTTTTGTGTCAAACATGAAGCCACATTTTATTTGTTCTTGGTAGAAATGTTTACCTATTTTTGTCTCCAAAACATCCTAATTATTCTATTATTACATGATCATTGTCCCTCCCTCTCACAAGTCTCGTGAATCTTTTGTGTTTCTTGTGAATTAATTTCCCACTTGACTTATTGGGTCTATCTTCCAACTGTGTGTAGGCACTTACTTTGAATAAAAAAAAACTTGAATTATAGTGATGGTTTTACCTAGAAGTTGGCTTTTAGAAAGTAATTACTCCCAGATAAATGTTTTGGGTTAACTTAAAAGGTAGAGTAGGTAAGAATGGAGAAACCACCTTGAGTGCGCTAGAATTTGAAAGTACGTTGCCGAAAAAAAATGCCCCTTCCTTCAGACTTCCTTACAGAGCCCCTCCTCCAACACACGGACGTGCACATGACCAATGAGGGCACGAGATAAGTTTGTGCACGAGATGGAAGGCTGACAGGCAGGTAGGCCATCCAGCCTACCTGCATTTAATGTATTCATTGCTATCGGGATGTTAAGAGCATTCCATGGAATATAACAAAAAGTGTTTCTGAAGTGAATTACCTACCCCACCTTTAAGTCATGCAATTGGTGTTAAGCATGTCCTTCTATATCGTCCTTTATGGAACAATGAGAAGAAACAATGGGTGTGTGTGTGTCTGTATCTGTTTCAAAGCCATGAGAGGCTACTAGCAGAGAGAGAAAGAAAGCTACCTGGCTCTGCATCTGGCTCTGCTGTTTGAGGCGGAGGTTCTCTGGAGTGTCAGCCACACAGGTGAAGTTTGACTTGGGGTAGTGTCTGAAAAATAAGCAGACAAAAAAGCAAAGAATGTCAGTACACAGTAAACACATACAGGCAGATGCCAGCTTTTTACCGAGACTCCCACTGTGACGCCCAAGCCTCTAAGAGAATAAAACAGCATAACTCAAGCAGTGTGCAGTCTGTGGCCCCACAGTGAGGGTATTTGTTATTCAAGGTGGTCCTGAGGTTGAGTTAGGAGCCCCTGTAGACAAAAAGCATGTCAGTATAACATACAATGCTCTGTTAGTGGGAGCCAAGGTAGCCTGAGAAAGAGGAAGTGGCTGGGTGGGGGATGAGATGCTGCAGAGTTTTGGGAGCGAGCCATAGCAGGTGTGGAAAAGGACACACACACACACACACACACACACACACACACACACACACACACACACACACACACACACACACACACACACACACACACACACACACACACACACACACAGCAACGGGGTCAAAGAAACAGTAGGGGAGTGGGAATGATGTCATGGGCAGCCCCTTCCAGCAGAGCGTGTAAGCGCGGCCTTTTTTCTGAATGGATTCTGGGAATGTTCTTGACAGTCACAGAACCATAACCACCCAAACCTTGTGGTACTTGGGAGAAACAATTCTGCCTGAAAAACAAATGTATTATATACACACACACACACAAGTAAGCAACCATGCACCACTGTACAAGAAGCATGCTTCCAAAAGCCATTCATTGCATGTCTACTTATCGATTGCCTTAAATGCTGTCAGTGGTTTGTCCGTGTAAGGCATAAGTGAGTGATTTAAAACACTGGAGGCTTCTGGGCACGAGTAGCCTTCAAGGCCACTAATAACATTGCCTGCCAGTTCAGAAGGATCCTTAAGGCAGAAAGAAATGCATGGCTTCAATCCAGGAGAGGAATATTCCTCACAGCTCATATGGACTGCAGTTCCCAGCATGCCTCAGGGTGCTGTGTGACCTCAAAAATCCTCAACCACTCCCTGTAACAGTATGTAACCCATTAAGGCAATATGTTTACATGGTCAAAACACTGAATTAGCATTCATCCTGATGTGATTAAGGGATACAACAACTTTAACAAAGGGATTGTGGTTCTACTTAAAGTACTGTTTAAAAAAAAGAGAGGAGCCACAACCTAAACAACATTTCAAAGAGTGGGGAGAAGAACATAAATGCAGCTGGAGAAGATGATTGAAGTGTTCAAGCTCTGTGATATACAACAAACCCAAGCACTTGATCCCTGCTTTCATCCACACAGACGCATGCAGGTGTGTGCACGCTCACACTCGTCTTTCACAACTGCTAACTCTCAAACGCTTATTTTCCTGAAAGGGCAGCTATCCGCAACATTCAGACGTTGTGTTTTGCTAGCTGTCGGGGCGGGGCAGGCTGGAGCAAGCTGATCAAATAATGCAAATGAAGCTACTCTTTTATTGTTGTGACATATCTAATCACAGAGGTGCTTCAAAGAGCAGACACACCACTCTGTTTTATATGAACATCACCAAGTCTTATCTGTCTTAAGGATATATTACATCATGCAAAAACAAGGCTAGATGGCAAACAAATCTACACTTGGTTATCTTTATGTTTTTTAGGCAGGTCAATTTCCCATTGTCCATTCATTCATGAGGGTGATTTGATTCTCAACTCTTTAAGTCTAAAGGCTTATCAATGCTCACTGGCCTTTTCTGAACACTATAGATGCATCTAATATACTACATATTTGTGTCGAGACTCGAGAGCAACACGAAATTAATCTAAGTGGTTCAGATTTAGCAAAAGTCTCTAAATGATTTCCATAAGTGTTGCTCCTTTAGTCTATTTTTATCTCAGTGTTTTGGGTATGATCCCCTTTCTCAAAGCCAGTTACCTAATAATGATGTAAATATGTATCTGGGTTGGGTGTGTCTGGTTTGTGGTGGAAACACACTTCCTTTCACAGAGCATCACTGTGTCTAAAACCCCCACTTCTCTGAAGCAGAGGGGTGTGCGTCCAAGGTACACACCCTCGAAACCCAAATATATGTTAACAGCAATCCTGTCATCATCGATGTGTCCTTAGAAACCGTCATAGCACTTACGGGTCAGTAAATTGCTACACAAACAAACACACAACAGGGTTGAAGATTTAAACTTAATGACTAAGCGGGATGGTGAAGTGTGTGTCTTGAGTGTTTGCAACGACCATGCCTGCGTTTTGGTTGAGGCAATGTGTGAGTCACAAGAACACTCATCTGTCGGGTTGCATAACAAGGTAATAAGTTGCAGACGTGAGTGGGTGACACATGCACAAACTCAGTTAGCCCCGGGAACGCTAAAAGGGAGTGATCAAAATGGAGGGGTGAGTGGGGCACGCATGTGTAATCGCAAACAGACACACACAAACCGCCTACTGTGCAGGAGGAGAGGCCTGTTTGCATAGAGGGACCAGGAAATGTTGAGGCTGGCTTGACCCTGTGAGACCTGGAAAGGTTGTAATGCATCATTCAGAGGGAACATTTCATCTACATGTCAAATCTGCACTAGGGCTGTGCAATTCATCGTATTTGAATCTCGATTACGATTTTGGCTTGCAACGATTACGAAAACAACGTAATGGAAATAAAACGATTTCTTTTTTTTTTTTATATGAAAAACCAATAAAATAAAAAAATTATTTATTTATATATATATATATATATATATA